TTTTTGCCGATATCCAATATACGAATATGTAATGACTCATTTGACCAATGAACAATACCGATATTGGTATATCCACTTTTTTCCCTCCCTAACTCTAGTGATCATCAAGTCTCTTCTGTAGTGGAATTAACATCATATTATATATGCATACTTTTATCATGATGGCCCACCAGCAGATGGAAAATGCATGTTGGCCGATTCATTTTAAAGCCGATATTGGCCGATACAGATGACCTAGCGGTATTATCAGCATGTTAGCCGATTCCAATATTTAATTTTAAAGTTAATATCGGCCAATACCAATGACATGCCGATATTATCGCGCATCCCTGGTATATGGGCTGACTTCATCGTTGGTGGAGGGGATTCTGGATGGTGTGACACCTAGGCAAGGTGCCTGCCAAGCTGCATACCGCTGTTGCAGTTGTGATTTAGCAAGTAATTGCTGTGTTTCCAGTGGCTTTTTAGGCACCAAATGAAGGTGTTTGTGGCAACCTATTGCTATATTTCCCGCACCATTTTTTACTGGCCAGCTGCCTTGTTTCCATCATCTTCTTTTAGGGATGAAAAGCAGTTGGTTTTTACCGCGACGTCTGTGTTTTTTCTGGTGGGATTGTGCCCCCAAGACCAGGTATTTAAAGCCACAGCACAATTTTTTCCTACAATATCCAAGTGGTATTTGTGCCTAGACATAACCAAACATTTACCACACCACATATAATGTACAACTGTTACGTATCTGTGGTTTGCAGAAATTTACAATGCCAACATTTTTTCTTTCAACTGGGTTGCCCCCTCCAGGTTGAGAGAGAGTTACTGCCTCAAGCAAAGGAGTTCAAGTATCATGAGGTCTTGTTCACAAGTGAGGGTAGAATGAAGCATGAGATGGATCAGTGGTTTGGTTCAACGTCAGCAGTGATGCAGGCGCTGCACCCGACCATCAAGATAAGGAGGGAACTGAGCCGTAAGGTGAAGCATTCAGTTTACTGGTCCATCTACGTCCCAACCCTCACCTATGGTCATGAGCTCTGGGTAGCGACTGAAAGAATGAGATTGCGAATGCAAGCAGCTGAAATGAGTTTCCTCCTTGGGGTGGCTGGGCTCAGCCTTAGAGATAGGGTAAGAAGAACAGGTAAGGGTAAGGTCAGTTGAGGTGGTTCGGGCATCTGATCAGGATCCTCCTGGGCGCCTCCTGTTAGAGGTGTTCCAGACACGTCCCACTGGTAGGAGGCCCTTGGGTAGACCCAGAACACACTGGAGGGATTACATATTTTATCTGGCCTGGGAACGCCTCGGGGTCCTCCAGGAGGAGCTGGAAACTGTTGCTGGGAAGAGGGATGTCTGGGGTGCTTTGCTTGGTCTGCTGCACCCACGACCCGGCTTCAGATAAGCAGATGAAAATGAAATGAATGGGTTGTGTAGAAAGTGAAGAACTTGTTGTCTTTTGAACCGTCCCATTGATAATATCATATAGTGTGTTCTTAATAAGCAACTGTCAAAGCAGAAACTGAGTGGTAAAAATGTATTTTATTGCATCTGATGCAGCTTTACATTTTCAACTCTTTGATGTTTACAGTGCACTTCAAAGGGCCATGTGTTGGTGCAATTAGGTCTGATTTTTGAAAATACTGAGATATCCAAAAACAACACTGTTCTTCATTAACAGAACAAAACAGATAAAGATCTACACTGAATGTTCACTGTACCAGTAAATTACCTCACGGCTCAGATACCATGCAGGTTGGGCTTAACCTGCTCCACCCCCAAAATGAAATACTCCAGTCTCAAACAGAGTAAAGCTAATGGTGCACTTGGGCGGTCCTACTCAACTAATAAACTCAAAAATTTCCAAGTTCATCACCAGAATGTTTCCCCACTGAGGGCTGACTAAGAATTTGAAGAGGTTTTTGTGAATGCTCCATTAAAAAGGAGATCGACACAAAATAGATTGTGAAAAACTGAAGGTTGCAAACAATAGACCAATCCTGTCTTTCAAATTCAAAAGAAGGCTGCATTTTTCCTCTCAAAGAGCATTTAAAATCTGACAAGCCTTGTCTGAAAGTGTAGACTGGATCCAGCTGTATAATCAAGATGATGTCCTAGCTGGTCTCATGGTAAAGAGATGAAGCAGATTGCAGAACAGTTTCACTGTAGCATCTGGCATCATTTTATTCTGTGGAAGGCAGCCTTGCTTTCTGGATGCACTGAACAACAGAATCACTCTCATTATCACTTCCAGTATGTTCAGGTATATGGGACATATCTGACGTCTGGAAGTAGTTTTTAGCAGATAAATGCAGGACAAGACAGTAAAAATCTGCTTTATGGTGGTGCTTCAAGTGAATCCACCAGTTGATGTCAGATTGTAATGGCTTGCTGTCACTTTTTGCCATCTGGTGTCTCAGTGGACTTTAAACTGAAGGTTCAGGTAGAACTGAAAATAGCCAACGCAAAATGGCCAACAGATGGGAGTTGTGACACGTGAACAGTGAATTGAAGAGAAAAGGCTACAACCACACTCGAGGGACATCTCAACAGCAGTCACACAACTACATTTACCATTATATATAGCCGCTGCAGAGGCTCCACGTTACTGAAGTACTGAATGTCAACCTCTCCCCACTGAATCATATCGCCCATTCTTTCTTGGCTGTAATTGCTCTGAAGGAAAAAAAACTCCCCATTTATTAAATTTCTAACTCTAAGACCTTCTAACAATCACTTATGGGGTCTCCCCATTAGTTTGTCATATTGCAAATGAAGCATCTTTTATTATCCAACTCTACTGGATTGGATTGGATTTGAAGTTAAGTTAGTGTGGTTTTACTGAACTGACATTAAAGCTTGTCATTTCATACAGATCAGTATGAGACCAGCCCAGATACCAGGAGGAAATGTTGGCATTGTTCTTTTTTGCAAACCACAGATGTTACATTTGTTCATTTCATACAAATCATATAATTTCTAAAGTGACATACAGTAGTACATGAGCTGACTTTGTTATCGGGTGGTGGAGGGAATGTCACCCAGGTGAGACACCTACCAAGCCACAGACCAGTTATTTTATAGAAAGAGTTATTGCTGCATTTTCAGCTGCTTTTTAGCCAGCAAATATGTTTTTTGTGTTTGTTTGTTTTTGGGACTCCTCGCTGTGTTTTCTGCCAGGTTAGTGCCACGAACAGCAGTTATGTTTTACAGTGACATTGCTACATTTTCAGCAGTGATTTAGCTGCCAAATGTGTGTTTGTTTTTTTATTTAAATTTAATTTTAATTTTATATAGTTTATTAATCCCCCTGAGGGGAAATTCAATTTTTGCACTCCGTTGTCATTAACACACAGGTCCGAAAGACACACACATGCACAAACAGGACCTATACATGCACAAAGTGGAGAGATGTCAGAGTGGGGGGGCTGCCTTGATCAGGCGCCCCGAGCAGTTGGGGGGGTTCGGTGCCTTGCCTTGCTCAAGGGCACCTCGGCAGTGCCCAGGAGGTGAACTGGCACCTCTCCAGCCACCAGTCCACGCTTCATATTTTTTTGGTCCGGACGGGGACTCAAACAGGCAACCCTCCGGTTCCCAACCCAAGTCCCTATGGACTGAGCTACTGCCACCCATGTCATTTTTGTTTTTTTCTTAGTGGCCAGTCACTGCGCCTCAACCAGAAAAGTGACACAGAAAGAAGTAGTTTTTTTTTTACCAGACATTGTTGCATTTTTCAGCAGTTTTTTCACTGCCAAATGTGTTGTGTTTTTAGCAACCAGTCACTGCATTTCCTGCCAGGATTGCGCCACAAAAGCAGTAGTTTTTTACCAGACATTGCTGCGTTTTGAGCAACATTTTTTCTGCCACGTGTTGTTTTAGCGACCTGTCGCTTTGTTTCCTGCCAGGATCGTGCCACGAAAAAGCAATTGTTTTTTAAAATGACATTGCTGCATTTTCAGCAGTTTTAGCGACCAGTCACTAGGATAGCGCCACACAAAGCAGATTTTTTTTTTTTTTTTTTTTACAGAGAAAATGCTGCGTTTTCAGCTGCGTTTAGCTGCCAAATGTGGGCGTGTTTTAGCGACCAGTCGCTGTGTTTCCTGCTGGGATAGTGCTACGAAAAGCAGCTGTTTTTATCAATAGGTCACTGTGTGTCTGCCAGAATTGTGCCACCAAAACCAAGTGTTTTTTTAGCCAAAACATGATCTTTTCCCATCCATAACCAGGTGGTTTTTGTGTCTCAACCTAACCACGCATTAGCCACAGCATTGCTGAAATGTTAAGTTGTCACAGATTCGCTACATAGTAATATACAAATGGAACGTATCCATGGTTTGCAGAAACGTACAATGCCGACATTTTTTCTGGTGATTGAGTTGATAAGACAGTCTCATATCTATGAATAAAACACATAAAAGAGTCACTATACTGGTTAGCAATGTAAGCTTATGAGCTAAATCTGAATGATGACATTCCCGAAAATAACAGCATGTTTTTAATTTTACTTATAGACTCAAAAATATGTTTAAGCTCTTGTAAATAATGACAGAACAGCTTTAGCAAAATAAAAACATTGCTGTAAATGTAAACTGAAGTCTAACCTTTGCCCTACATGTCAAACATACTGTACGGATGCTAACAAATGAAGTTAGACTTGGTTAAATGCAAGAATATTTTTGAGCTTTTGGATTGTGCAATGCATAAAACCCAATGTTCATCCCCATTTTGTCTCTTCTGTGTTCATATCACTGCATGTTTAATAAAAATAATTCTCCTCTGCTTGCCGTTCTCACTATAAATCATCTCTCTGATGGTATTTTTGGTTTTGTTTGTATTTGTGTGGTTGTGTTTGGGTGCTGCATGTGAGTTTACACACTTGTACTGCGCCTGAATTTGCAAATATACCTTCTTGTGTGTGTGTGTGTGTGTGTGTGTGTGTGTGTGTTCCTGTCTGTGCTTGTGTTTGTGCCTTTACATGTGTGCTTATTTGCGTGTATGTGTTCACACCACCGTAGGAAGTTGGCGAAGAAGCAGAAGGAGACTGCCAGCAGCTCCACCCAGCAGAGGGAGATGGGTCCGGTCACCACAGCTGATAAGAGCACCACTAAAGTCAGCACCCTGCACAAAGACGACCCCTTCTCCACCTCCAACCAGGACCTCAACGGATTCAGTAAGTCAAAATCTCTGAACGTGCAGCTGAACAGCTGAAGCCACCATCGAGGTCTATTGAAGAATATTCTGTTCCAATCTAATCTCTAAATATAAGACTGCAGTATAATACAGCTGTTTAAGATGGTTGTGCTCCTGTAGTAACAGTGTCGTTAAAATATTTTCTCTTGTATTATAAATCTAGTTGTAAGTTGACTTTTGTTTCACAAAGTAAAGTTTCTTTCGCCCTTGTCTCTACTAGGAAATACACATACAGTACTACGCCTCTGTGCCATTAATCATTTTGTCAGATTAATTTATTCAAATAGTGGACATCTCATTTTATAATAAAACTCTCCATATGTTCCTCTTTCACTAATATCAGCAGTATGTTGTGCTGCTTCACTAGCCTCCATCTTACTTAGTGCTGCTGTAATCATTTATCATTCCGCTCTGTTCCCTAAAATTGTTCTCCTCTGTGCTGCCTCATACCCATGCAAGCACATGTATGCATATTGGGTATTTCACATATGTGTGTCTCCAACTGCAGTCTTCTGAAAGTCAGCCTGCCCGCACTTGCGTAGCTTTGTGGGTGCATTTTCCCATCTCTTTGTAGAATTGTGTGCGTGTGTATGCATGTATGTGTGTGTGTGTGTGTGTGTGTGTGTGTGTGTGTGTGTGTGTCCAGGGTAATTAGACAGGGCCCCTCAGAAGGGCATTTTTCTCTTGAAAATGTCAGGCTGGCCTTTTGGGAGTGCTTGGCCGTTGAAAGCCAGGGGTGCTGGAGAGGGACTAAGTAGCAAGCTAATGTCGCCCGTAATTGCCTGCTCTCTCCCTCTAAATGTCCACGCTGCAATTCTGACGTAGCATAATGTTTTTGCATTGGAAACACTTAGAGGAGACCACTTTTATCTTCCATGTACGATAAAGCTGTGATATTTGAAAACTTTATATGTTCTTTGCTGTTAAGTACACATGCCTGTTTGTTTGGGCATTTACAAAACACAGAACAGGAAGTCCCTTTCTCCTTGACCTTGGTTGTTCCATAATCTTGTAACATTTGAAACATTTGAATTTGTTTTCCAACTAGACCTAACGACACGAATCTGGGACCTCATGTTTCAATTGCTCTGGCAGATATTTCCTGAGAGATCAGCCTGTTCTTACTCCCAACTTGTCAAATACAGACACTTTAGTCCCGTTTCCACCAAACACTTTCGAATGGTAGCTTTGGAACCAAAAGTAACCCTTCAACCATGGTACCTAGACCCTGGGTAAGTAAGTAAGTAAGTAAGCTTTATTTGTACAGCGCCTTTCACAGACCAGGGTCACAAAGTGCTTTATAATTACAACAAAACAATACACAGTTAAGAAGTACATACAAATTTAAATTAAAAAAGGCCAAGACAACTCAGTGACAATCATAGCAGCCCCAAGACAATTAAGCAAAAGTCTGAACAAATAAATAGGTTTTAAGTTGCCTTTTGAAGGAGTCAACAGACTCCATCGAACGCAGAGAGAGCGGAAGATCATTCCAAAGCCTTGGAGCAACAGCCTGGAAGGATCGGTCTCCTCTGGTCCGGAAACGAGTTCACGGAACCATCAGCAGATTCTGATCCACAGACCTCAGAGCCCGAGCTGGGGTGTAAGGCTGGATCAGATCACTGATGTAAAGTGGAGCCTGACCATGCAAAGCTCTGAAAGTTAAAACCAGAATGGGTCCACTTAGCGGTATCACGGCAAACCCTGCCCTTAAATGTGGGCAAGCTCAGGGGTTTAGTGTTGCTGTAGACCACAGGAACAATGCTCTCCAACGCTTTTTTTTCCTCCAAGTGAGGATGAGAATATATGCTGCTCACATAATCGAGTCAAAATTAATATACATAAACGCTTGAAGATCCACTCATTACTAAAAGTGTTTGTCATCCAAGAGAGACAAAAAAACAACTAATGGAACAGTCAAAGTTGTCATGTTGAAATTTAAGTTGTGTTGACGGATTCACATCGTCAACTCATGCATTGAGTAACGTTACATATAAACGTTCCACCTTAAAAGTTGCCGGCAGTCGACCCAGTTAATTAAGTTTTTTTTTTTTCTCAAGAACCACCAGAACTTGCATGTGTTGCTCAGCACGACCTCACATGTTTAATTGCTTTGATTGGTTGTAAGTCACGTGCTGATGCTCTTATAGGTGAAGATTTCAGAGGGGCCGCAGGAGACACATCGTCCTCAATATTTAGAGCATGACAGGACTTTTATTTTGACAAAATTAAAGACATTTATTTATAAATTGATGCAGAAGTTGGTTCATAAAAAAATCACCAGAATGCTGGATATTAATGATTGATGCTCAAAATTTTACTGTGGAGAACTTCCAAACCACCTGTTTAATATGTCTCCTCCGTCCAATGTTGTTACACCCTTGGCTGCTCTGATTGGTTGTAAGTCTATCCACTTGTGTCCAGAGGCATTTGGGTCTCCGCCTGTTGATAGCACCTGCTGGAATTCAAAAATGAACTGAGAAGTCCCAAACTAATTCCCATTTTTGACTTAGTCTAATGATTCCAGGCTAGAGGTTACTGTCTTCTGGGAACTGAATTCGTGATGAAGTAATGGTTATTTTATTAGTCATGGATTATTTTATACTGCCAGGCTGAGCTGGCTGGACCTTGCTCGGGGCCAAATATAGTTTTGGCATTCAGGTCTTCTTTACCTTGATTTTGGGCATATGTAAAATTAAGTTTGGAGTTTCAAAAGGTGTCAGACTTCTTTCCTTTTTTATTCAGCTGAGGATGCTGTGAATAATATGTTTTGGCCCATATGCCATATCATCCAAAGGAAGATGTTCCTGTTGTATCAGTCTTGTTTGGACCGACTTTGACAAAACTGATAATTCTGTCTCTTTTACGAAAACATACTCATTCCCAACTCATCACATATTGCCGCTTGGTCAGTGGACTTTCACATCTACATATTACTTGCTAGGTATCCTGGGTGCATCTGTTAATAACATTCTGGAACGCTGGTCAATTTACGCTTGTTACATGGATTATGTGATTTCAAAATACACTTCCATTTTCATAGGAAGTGTACAGTGTCTGCTTGTTAGATGCATACAGTCAGTCAAAATACAACACATTCTCACTTTGACCTCAATGTTTGGTCATGGGCTTTCCACATCCAGATACGACGTTCAAGGTACCCTGGGTGCGTTGGTTGTTGACCTTCTGGGATGCTGTGCATTGTCTTCTTTCAAAAAACACTTCTTTCTTTTAAAATAAATGCACTACGTCAGTACAACAATGCGAATTAGCGTTTTTTTTCCCCTCCAACGACAAACGCACATGGTTGGGTTTTGGAAAAAAGAACAGGGTTTGGCTTTAGAATCCTATAGGACGCAAACATCACTTCCCCAGGTGAATGTCGGTGTTGGATCCATCCACCAACACTCCTGCACGCCCTACTCAGACTTTTGCCGCCTTAACCTTTGTTCTTGTCCCACTTAATTTCCCCCTGACACTGCTGAGCACTGTTAAACTACAATGACAACTGGCCGTGTATCATGCCAACGTTAAACGATGGCTTTTTTCGTCAGTGTCTGACGCTGCAAGTCACTGCCCAAGCTCTGGATTTCGACAACTTCAGAGTGAGACCAGGTTGCAAAATAAACCTACAGTGTCTATAAAACATAGTGTATTTACTTATATTTAAATGTGCATCTAATTCATGTGGTTAGGTTTAGAAAAAGACATCATGGTTTGACTACCCATCCACCACCCCCACCTGCCCTATAGGGACTTTCCAGCTCCTTCAACTACGTTGTTGTCCTGTGGTGTTTCAAATTGAAACTGACACCGTCTGGTGGCGTTATTAACTGATGCCCCCAGATGGCATATCATAGTGGAAGGATGCCTGTTTTTTGTCTGTGTCTGACGTGGAAATCAATGACCAAGCGGCAGTATTTGATGACTTCCGAATGAGACCAGGTTGCTTTTTGCTGTGTCACTTCCGACAACTTGTTGTTTAAGATTCATGGCAATTAGCTGTCAGGTTTATCAATGTTGGTGCCGTGAATTAGTCTCTCTCTAACTGTCTCTCACAGCTAGTACTGTTTATCACGTAAACATTTGAAAAAGTAAAAGAAACAAAGCACACACACACACACACACACACACACACACACACAGTCACTGATCCAGGCTCTGTCCTAATGAGACAGAGAAAAAACGCTGACACAAGGTAGGGGACCCAATAATATTTCCGCAGATGGACCCTCGCAGGGCAAATAACCTTTTTGTGTTATTGCCTTCTCACCCAGTCACCAGTTATCTTCACAGGACATTGCTGTCAAAGCAGATTTCTTTTGGTATGCAGGTGCACTCCTCACTGTATTAAAGTTGAGCTTCTTTTTGAGGCGCATTAGCATACGGTGCCGGTACGCATGAGACGAGAGGGATTTTATCACAGAAGAGGAGAAAATATGTTGTGTTTGGAGGTATTAGGAGAGGGGAACAGGGGGGAGGGAGAGATGAGAGGGGAGAAGGAGGAAGGAGGGAGGACAATGGAGAGAGGAGAAGATAAAACTTAAATTATCCGCTGTAGGGAAATTTGGCTATTGTACCAGAAAACAGTCAGAGCAAACAGAATATGAATAGAAATTAGGCAAGAGGCATGATATATGGATCATTTTCACATCAGGAAGTTATCATCACATTCATTTTGAAGACATCAGTGAAATTGAAAACACTGGATGAGGTCTGTGTCGGCCTTATTCTGTCATTTATTTTTCACATTTTATTTATGGGAACCTCCCGGGTTGTTTTATGGAAAGAAACAGGAAAGGAGTGCTTTGTTAATCCTGAGCAAATGAAGTCTAAGCTTTCAGGATAACTGGTGAGCAAACCCTTGATTTGTTGGTGACAACAGAGTTCAACTGAAACAGAACCACTTAGAGCCTGTTTATATAAATATGCCTGGTATAAATATGCCTTTCGATGGTGTGTCTATCATGTGTCTCCAGCTGAGCACTTGTATTAAGTTATGATTACTGTGTACATTATTTACGTTATAAAGTCAAAGGGCCGAGCACACAGTTATTACATTTATACTTGCTAGTCATGTTAGCAGTTGTGTCACTGGAGATGTGCCGTCAGCATAATCCAACACGTCTCCTTCCATCGGGTAAAACAGTGGACGGTCACGCAACATATCGTCCAACTTGTCATAACATGGGCACATTATAGAGCACACTGTAAACAAAACAACCACCACGTCCTGCATTGATGATGTAGTTCAGGGACACATCAGGACACATTAGTGTTGACATTACTAAACATATGTGGTCAAATGCATCCCAGACCACCTCAGCAAGTGGTTTAGAGCAGTGGTCCCCAACTGGTGCAGCTACAGGGTCAGTTCAGGTCAGTCCCACAGATTAAAATATTCATCATCATACTTTAGCCATGTCGTTGAGCTAGTTTGCTGTCTCTGTCAAGTAGTTGTCTGTTAGTCACTCACTCTACAGCAGGAAACGGCACTTCAAAATAAAAGCTCTGTGCTGGGAATTCACTGTACTTCAAAATGAAGTGTGGTTTTTACAAACGTGACATACTTGCGAGTCACTTGCAGTCCATTCAGGTTTAGAGGATTGGATCACCGTGCATCTTGGAGGTCGTTTGGATCACCCAAGGTGCATAATAATACAAGGTATAAGCAGGGCCTATAATCACATTTACATGTGTGTTTTCAAGCGTTTCACATCTAGATCAAATCTAGGTGCCTTTAAAAACACTTTTGTTTTTATTATTGAACACAATCTTGTGCTGATGGTGGAAGTAGCTAAAGAGTGAACAATCTTGCTTCCCTCTCACTTCTGGTGAGAGCTGCGCATGTACAATACCAATCAGGCACTCGTGAAAAAATAGCAGCAGGTGAGGACAAAGCTTGCGGGCTGAAGTGCAAGCAAACATTTCAATTATTCTGGAAACTGAAGTTTAGTTGGGTGGCATTAGACAATGTGGGCAAAACTCCAACTATGTATTGTTCTGTTTGCCACAAGATTGAGAGCAAGGCAGACAAAATGAGGCGGTTGTCATGACAATTAACTTCAGTCTTTTATATTTGACAGCTGCTAATAAACACAACAATTTGTACAGGGGAAAGTAAAAATCAGCTTTGGGTAATTACATTTCTGACCCAACTGCCTGACCGGACAAATGAAAACAAGACATTAAAGTTGAACCCTGGTACCATGAATATGTGGGGTTATTGGTCAGATCACAAAACTTAACACACCAGCCTGGCTTACACAAATCTGTGTGCTAGGTCCTGCTCTAGTTCACAGGCTGGCAGTAATGTATCTGAAGCAGTCTGCTTAAAACGCCAGAAGAATAACGTGCTAAAAACGGCTGCTCGGTGTAGCTACCAGATATCATTCTAACAGAAACCCATGGATGACTCACATGGATGGACTATTATTGGGACAGAAGTTTCTCTCACCATCACAAGCACTCATTCATGCTGCTCTCTTACACATATATTACAGCCTCTTTCTTCCTATGGCTTTAATGTGCAGGGAGAAAAATGGCCAATTTGAGTGTCACCTCAGCCGCCATTATATCAAGGAGAAGATGCTTTAAGTGGCTGCCTCCATAGACCACTTTGTGTAGCGTAGGCTTGGAGAGGCTAATGCATTTACAACTTTTCAACATCTCGCTAGAATGTGTCTCAAACCAGCTCCCATTATGCAAATGGTTTTACAATCCCGCTCTGTTACTTGTTGGATGTGTTTACACTTTGATTGTTTTTTATATCAGATGGCAATTTGGTTGCCAAAAGACACGGTAAGTAGCAGACTACCCTTGAGACTACCCTACCAGTATGAAACAGAGCAAAATGCCAGCAGAGTTTGCTGTACAACTGATCCAACTGAGACAAAAAACACTGAGTATTTAATGTATAGCCAGAATTAGATGTTAAAACATAAATACATGAGGGAAAGGAGAGCGGGGAAAGCTGCCATGTGAGAAACTGGAGGAAAGTAGAGCTGAGGATGTGAGACGGGAAGAGAGGGGAGGAAACAGAAAGAGATAGACAGGGGCAGAAGAGGGGAGGCATATTGTGTCATCTGCTCAGTGAGTATAAAGGGAGGTTGACAAGAGATTTCTTCGAGGGGAGAGTTTCCTCTAAGCTTTTACCATCAGAACTGATACAAGGTGAACACAAATACTGCATGAGGACTAATTGGCTGCTCAAAGCATGATGATAACTTTTAGGTGAGCACACAACACACACAGAAAATGCCAACAGGATGCAGGTCCTACAGATAAATGTGTGTATGCTAGCTGTGATATCTACTGTGGATTATTGAACAGGCTTAGCTAGCATATAATATGTCACAGTCAGTCTCCCAGCAGTCCCCCTGGGTTTTATCTTATTGTGTGTGTGTAAGGGTGTGTGCCTGTGTCTATCCCACATATCATTTATTTATAACCTCCAGCAGTGTGTGTGTGTGTGTGTGTGTGT